ACATTTGATACATATTACATTTGAGATCGATTCGATTTGGTTGTAAATTATTTGGACACTACTCCCCTAATAAGTCTCATCCCCGTTTGTAAATATTTGTACCCCCACTCCCGGATACTTATTTGTAATAGCGTAGGACTTTAAATTCCCGCAATTTATCGCTTTCAAATATACCATGGTTAGACCTAGGGTTTGTATGTACATAAAATCAAACGCTAGATAACCTAATACAAGAAAAATACATGAAATCAATACACAATCACACTTGCACCCCTAGGGTAACCCCGCTTGTTGCCTTCCAAAATGGGCCATGCTTGCACGTCGAGTTTCTTTGGCAAAACAATTCAAATGATCATAAGTCCCTCGATGACGCTTTCGAAAGTTGCCTAATCAAAAATGATCATAGTCCCTTCAAGCAAAATTGCCAAAGACACTTGGCACCATTGCATTCATGGTCCATACGATGACCCGCGCCCGTCCCGTTAAACATCCTAAACGCAAGATTGCCCACCAAATACAATGGTGGAACAAAATTGTTAAAAGGGTTAAAACATGAGGAAAACCTTTGAGTAAATTTAGGGGTAGACAACTCTTAGTTACTTGATCAAACTTGCAAAAACACTTGCCTACTTTTCAAAACCCATTTCACAAACACTTTCAAAACAAACTTTCAAAAACATTTGAAACATCTTTTCGAAAAGATACACACCTTCGTAAAACACTCAAACACGAGTCATTAAAATGGTTGCCTAGACAAGGCGTCTTCTTCAAAAACATTTTCAAAACACACACACACCATTTCAAGCAATTGAAAATCAAAGGTAAGTGATCTAAAACAAGTAACTAAGAGCCCATGGATAACCATGGATGAAAGGGGTGCTAATACCTTCCCTTTTCATAATCTACCCCCCGAACCCACGAAACATCTCAAAAGGTTTTTCCTATGCTTTTTTAACCTTTCCTTTAGGATAAAATAAAAAGTCGGTGGCGACTCTTGCTAAACCGAACAAGTGCGAACACAAAACGCAAAACCTCAAGTCAGTTCTCCCACCGTATCACAGACTGGTTTGAATTCAATGATGCAGGGTTGGAATTGAACACGATGGAGCAAGGGCATGGCACGAAGGTGAATTAGGAGATGGAAGAAAAAATTGAAGAATGAAATCAATGAAGATTTGAGAACAAAATATGGAAACATGAGTATGGAACAAATTGCATAACATGGAGAATGATGGATGATTAGGATAGGTTTTCATGTATTTTAGGCACACTTGCATCGAACCTGACTTCTGAAGTAGGATAGTATTAGATGCTGTGATATAATGTACTCCTTAGAAATTGCATCTTAATTTGGAACATGAAACAATTGCAAGTGTATCCTGAAAAGAGCAAAGTAACTTTGAAGTTTTTGCCAATTTCTATTCAATATTCCAAATCTCTTTTTTCTGACCGGAGTTTAAGTGGCTTTGTAATATCATTTTGACTTTGTAATGAAATTGGAACTTGAATTAATTTTGATGAGATCTTGGTATTTGCTTTCATTTTAATGTTGCGATTTTTTTCCATCTCGAATTCACGACTTAAGTCCAATCCCAAAGCTTGTCCTTTTTTGTATCTATACAATTCGTGGAGGAACTATACACCAACTTTCGCTTGTTGAAAGATTTGAATTGGTACACATCCGAACATGAATTAACTGGGGCTTATGCCAACTTAATCTCTCTCAAAGAATCATATCCAAATCCAATTGTGAGCCACACTTGATTCTTATTAAAACTTTAATTTGAATGTTGAAGCTCAAAAAGCATGTTCGTAGCCTAAGCGATAAGCATACCTTGGATCAATGAATGATGAAAGATGATTCTTCAAGAGAAATCTTAACGCACCTCTTATATTAATGACAAAACCTTGACCAAATGATAAGCACAATCATAGAAAGAGATTCATTGATTCAAACCTCATCCACACCATTAGGTAGTTCTTCAAGTGAATGCTTCCACAAAATGAATTCAAACCACTCTTCATTCTGAAATCCACGAATAATTCGTAAGTCAATTCACAAGCAAACAAAATGAGTTCACAAGAACCTCTCTTATGCCATGACTTACATTTTGCAATCTAAACCTCACGACATCTTGATCTTAAACAAAATTAATGCCTTGCTCTTGAAACAAATACTATGCAAAACCCTACCTTGTGATCAGTGATTTCTGAAGAAGAACCTCCATTGAAGTACAATAGCTGAAAAGCCCTGATCTTTGCTTAAACATAGAGAAATAAACCCTATTAGCCTTGTAACTTGATGAAGAGAGAAATTCCCAATGACTGCAGATCATAACCCTAATTCCATTGCTCATTGCTTGAAGGAGAAATCAGCCTTTATTGGATATATTCATCACAGTCAGTGACAATTCTAACTTACACAATCATGTGATCTCTTAAACCTTAGGGTACTTTATTGAGTGAAAATGCATGTTATGTTAATGACCTAATTAAAAGATGTGAATGCAACACTAAGCCTAAGCCAGATAAAAGTACAATTAGGAGGGAAAATTTTGGGGTGCAACAATCGGCTGAACAAATCATTGAGGTGAAATCAATGAAGTCGCCATCGAATATTTTTTATCCCTCAGGAAGGAAAAGGTAAAAATAGAGTAAACCTGAGAAAGGTGAAATCACGATCAAACAACCAAGAGATACGGGTAAGGGAGTCTGTTACGTGAGGGAAAGGTATTAGAACCCCACATGCCCGTAGTACTCTATAGTATCCACTCTTGTTGTTCTAATCAAAGGGTGTGTTTAAATCTAATGCTTAAGAGCTAAAAAGAAAATGCAAAGAGGGAATGCATGCAAAAGAAAAGAGAAAACAATGTAGGGAAAATAAAGTTATGCTCTCTTGGGCCCTACCCCGATGCCTACGTATCCTTTTTGAGGAATCAGAGTTACCGTAGTTTGACTCACATGTTTTGATTTGTTTTGTGTTTTTTAATGAGCCATATTAATTTCTCCTTCTGACGCAGCTCGACCTTCGGAGACTTACACGTCAACACAAAAGTGAATTAACATTCTCTTTTGAAAACTTTGAAAGAAAAGGGCCCGAAGTCGCAAAAGAGTTTGCATTGGTTGATGTTTTTTACCTTGAAGAAGGATTTGAAAGTTTTTAGATGTTTTAAGAATTTTCCAAGAAAATGGTTTTAGTCTTAATGCAAGGATGCAAAAGAAAGAAAAACATCTAAAGGTAGCTAGCTAGAATCTAATCCCTAATGTTATCATACAATGATTGATCCTAAGGTTGAGTTTTGAAAGAGAAATCTCTACCATATGTTAGCATGCATGGATACCTATCCTAATGCCTATCTCGAATCACCATGAAAGGATGAATCGAGAAGTCCTAAAGGAGTATAACAAAGGTTCACCACCTAAATCTATGTCTATCTCAAGTCACCCCCAAAGGATGAATCAAGAGCTCCTAAGAGAACATGCCAAAGGCTCACAATCTAAGAAAACATGTACACAAGGATGGAAAACATGTAATCAACAAGCTCGAGAGACAACACACATGCCAAGAGTAGTACACACTAACTCGGGTAAAAGCCTAACGAAGATATAAATGATCTAGGTAGGTACAAAATACAGTAGGGATGCTTTAGCCAAGGGGTCATATAAACCAAGGCAAACAAGCGGGTAAAGGTATGAAGCGGGAAGCTTTAGCCAATGGGTCATATCGACGAGGCAAATAAGCTATCTGTGGGAACAACATTTGTACCATGGCATCGTATTTCCAGGTAAGAAGAGTAAGGGGGAGTGAAAAAACTTGGCGCGTCAACATCGTCCAACGCGATCTCAAGAAAAGTGTGGGGAATCGATTACAAATACCTTTTCCACTTGACCGACTCGATACACATGATCTTCACAACTCCGAAGCATCGATGCACAACGCGAGCTAGGGATGACACAAACTAGAATGTGCGGAGGTTGACTACTAACCCTTTCTGCTCGCCTCCTTTTGAGGACTTATCATCCGTAATATACGCGAGCACAAATTTAAACACACCTGCAGAATACCTACTTCAAAGGTAGGGTTTTAAACAAACAAAAATAGCACACAAATGAACATAATGCAGAATTGCCCTAAACGAGTCTTTAAATAAACCAGAGGGGCTCCTAACATGATCAACAACGGAAATCCCCACCATACATCTCTATTCCTATTTCTCATGGTATCAAAAAGCAGTAAAGTTCCTACTTCTCATGACATCTAAAAAGCAGTAAAGTGCTGAAATGAGATAAACAGGAGAAAATACCAAGCGAACAAAAGTTCGTAGCCCTGCGAGCGAAGCAGAGAAACCCAGAAAAATTCGAGTAAGCTTCACCAAGCAATAGAGAGGAGTCAGAAATCAAATGCTCGGAATAAGTGTCGAAGCATCATCGATGTGAAATTAAATCACAATCGAAATCTCAAGCGCATCCGTATATCACACAATAAACCTGCATAAGACTCAAATCTAGACAAACAAAGGTGAATCGCAAGTCTCAAGCAATCAGATAATCATGAATTAATACCTAAAATCAAATAAAAAAAACTCTACCAAATTTATATTTGATTTTGTAATTTTTTATAATGTGTAAAAAGTTCAAAAAACACATCTAAGCAATTCACAAAACTATTTAAAAGAAATTACTAATAGAATAATTTCAGGGGGTGCAAGCGAGTAATCCTGGGGCGTGAGCTAGTAATAGGCGTTGAGCCCAATCCAGAAATAGTCCAATAAGCAATTTTTGTTGGAATTCTTTTCATGCTTAAAAAAAAAATTGCCATAGGTCCAAAAGGTTGATGGTTCGATCCACATTCACCCAAATTCAGTCTAACATGTTCACTATTATATTTTTTTTATTTACCAGCAAATTAATAAAGAATAAAAAAATATATAACAAATTAAAAATCAATATATCAGAAAGCAAAAGGATTAAAAAGGGATGCTTCAGCTTCTTGCAAACGCATGAACGTTCATCTTCATCTCTCTTACAGCGCCGCCGCCAAGATGACCTTTCCGATCTACTTAGTCCATCGTCCGATCGATGCATTCTCCTCTTGGCGTGTCTGTCTCGTTACAAAACAACTTAATCGATCCAACTCTCACACGTTGTTGATTGCTTCAGCTCATCGTCGATTGAATCACTATTCAGAGTGATCCTTCCTCTCCTTCGTTTCAACATTACAAAGTATCTTCTTCATCTCAGCGACGCTCTTTTTCATTTGAAACTAGTATCGCCGCCGTTCGCTTCAGTGGCGAGTTCCCCTTCGCCGGCTTGCTTCAATTGCGGTTCCGCCATGGTCTCAGTTTCGAGTTTCACTTCAACCTTCAATTTGTCGATGATGAGAAACACGTAACCACTGGCGGTTTCTTGTCCATTCCTCTTTTACTTCTTCATTTGATTTCTGCTGTGTTGCGGATGTAGAGCGAAAGTACCGCATATTCGATCTTGATATTGAAGAAGGTTCTTGTAATTTGTTGATGTCGATGAAGAATCAGCGAAGCGGTGTTGATATGCGCCTGAAGCAGAGAGAAAAATGATGGAGAATTATTGGATGTTGCACTTCCTGCGTTCGTTGTAGATCGAAGAAGATATAGAGATGTTGAAGAATCGAAGATTGTAAGTTGATGAATTCGGTTGCAGGATATGTTAATTGGAGATGATGATTCGTGAAGATGATGAAGTTGTGAGGATGCAGAGATTTTTGAAGATCGAGTTTCTGTGTGATTCTTCTACAGATCGTGTAGAATGATGAAGATGATTATGAGAGAAGAAGAGAGAATTTCTGTAGTTTTTCGATTATGATTCTTCTGGGAGTTTGAAGAATGAACTCAACCAAGGTGAGTTTCTGTTTTTGTAGTCTGTTAGATTGATAGAAAATCAGTTAGGGCTTTTTGTAATGCTGTTAATAGCTAGAAGCTATGACAGTTGGCACAATTGGATTTCTGTTATGGTGGTTAGTTTTGAGAAGGTTAGGGGGTTGTTGAAATTATGTTAGAAACAGTTAGGAGGTTAGGGGAAGTTAGGATCTCAGAAATTTTGTTATGGTTGTTAGAAGGTGTTAGTAATAGTTGGGAAATTGAAGTTAGTTATAGGTGTGAAAATGTTGTTAGGAAACTGTTAGTGAATGCGCTAGCATTTGGTTTTGATTTTCTGTTATGAAAATGGAGGATGAGATTGAGTCAATTGGTTAGAGAGATGTAACTATTTTGGGTAGCTACAATTTTTTATGATGAAATTTCTGTTATTGAATTAATTATAGGGTTGTGGAATTATGTTAAGAGTTAAAAACATTAAGCAAAACGGTTAAGGATATTTAGGAGGTTAAAGGAAGTTAGTTGGAGGTTGATGAGATTCAGTTTTCTGTTATTGCTGAGCTGGCTTATTGTTGAACTAATTTTCTGATAAAAATTGTTCTATGCCTTTTTCTGATTTTACTTCTGAATTCATTTTTTTCCGAACTGATGGACGTATATTATGAATGGTAACTGTTTCTGTTGGGTTTTTCAGTGCAGGGAAGGTCTGTTGATAAGCATCCTAAATTCGAAAGATTTGAAGTCCCGGTTTATTGGAAGTTTGGACGCAGTAGCAAGTGTAAGCAGGTCAACTGAGTGTGTTATTTGAAACTGACTTTGCCTTGAACTGCTTTTAGTGCACACACGTGATTATTGTTTGAACAAGTCAAATGCAAGTACATGTCTGAGTTGCTTTATCCTTTGTTCATGATAATTTCTTAGACGTAGCATGTTTATGTTGTAGGCAAATAAGTGTATGGACCTGGTACAAATTGAGTTGGTATTGGGATGATGATTCTGACCTGATATGTATTAATATTGTAGGTTTTAGAATGTTGACTGAACTGTGGTAGAAAGCCATCTACATGGCACATGGCTGCAGGTTTATATGCTGGAATCGGTTCCATTTATTGAACTGTTTTGGACTTAAGTTGGATGCTTGGACTAGTTTCTGCAGGGCTTGATACTTTGATGGCGTAAAGATGAAAAGAGAGGTCTCATGGTGAAAGGAATTTTAAGGAATAACGGCAAGAGTATGGTGATTTAATGGCCTAGAGTTGATTGAAGGCATTTGAAGCTCAGAGTTCTTAGCATAAGCTTAGAACTTTTCAAGTATTTGTGCAATGTATTTTGTATGCTTTTTATGAATGACTTTCTTTGGGAGCATTTTGATTGTAATTTGGTTCTTTGTAATGATCATGAATGAAATGGTTTGAAACCTTTGAATGAAATTTGAAATGAATACTTGAATTTTGGATGATGAGAAATTGAATGGATTTTGAATAAAACTTTGGATGAATGAATAATCCTTGAATAAGTCTTGCTACTTGTTTTGAATGAACAAACCTTCCATTTTTAAAATATCAATCTATTTGATGAATTGAACCAAAATAATCACTTGGACGAGTTCTAAATGAAACTCTTGAGAACTTGAAGGAACTTGAATAAGCCTGATAAATTTTGAATCTCTTTATAACCTGGATGACTTTGCCTTCTGATCTGTAACTTATTTTTCAAGAAATGCACATGACCAATCTTAACATGTTTGCATCTTAGAAATATTGATCCAATTAATTAACTTGAATACATTTAAAATCTCGAATGAATACTTCCATATAATGAGTTCAAATTAATTATCACTTCTTAAGGAAACTCCAATTTCAATCTTAAGTCCCTGTTAACTTGCGTTACAAGCAACAATCAATTAAAAGGATAATGATGATGTTTAGAATCCACAAATCATATCTTGTAACACAATGACTATGACTTGAGGAATCCTTTGAAAATGAATATGGAACTTGAGGCATGAGAGGAATAATGACCCAAATAGCCTTAACATGTAAATCCAATGAACCCCAGTTGATGAATTATCATATTTAAATGCCATATATAAGAACCCTTGAGGAGATACCTTTGTAGTCTCAAAACACTGTGGAAATCCTAGTTCACACAACTACTGAACTCTTGAACCTCATGGTATTTTATTGAATGCGAATGTATGCTATGTAAATGACCTAATGGAATGTATGCATATGCAACATTAAGCCTAAACCAAATAAAAATATCATTAGGAAGGAAAATTTTGGGGTGCAACAAGAAGCTTTGATTTTATCAATCTTCTAATGAGTTTTCAAATGCAAGTTTCAAGATGGTCATTCAACTAACCTCTAACTTCTAAATTCACTAAAATTGTCTTTAACTTTGTGCTTTTACTTTATGCCTTTATTTTATTGCCTTTATTTTTATGCACCATACTTTAGCATTTACATTTCATGCAATATTTATCTTTGCTCACTTGAGCATTTATCTTTATGTCATTTTTATTTTGCTCACTTGAGTTTTCATTTTCTTTTTGAAGACACTTAATAACCAACTCGAACAATAAAAAACTTTAAGGTTACTTGGACTATTTGGTTACTATCCTTGGCATTATGGAGATTGTGGATCTCTCGGACTTAGGATTAGAAGCCTTGACTCTTTGGAACCATGTGACTCTATTGTTATTTTGTCTGGAGTTCTTGGGGTTTACCCCCAGACATTGGGTTGATTTTCTTTGTATGCGGGTTATTCTAATTATGTGCTTTGTCTGTGATTGGGAGTTCCTCTGTATACAACTGTTACTCTGCCCAATTTTTGAGAAGACTTAATTCATCTGAAGCTTGGTATTTCTAAAAAGTTTGGTATCTTTGCTTGTTTGGTTTCAATTTAAAGGATGAGAATTCTACATTGACTTCTTGTTGATTAGACGGTTCTTTTCTTTAGCTTTTACCTTATGCTTTAGGATAGTCCCTTCATCTCCTCTCATCTTCTTTAATTTCAAAAATCTTCTCCCTCATTTGCAAAACTCTTCTGGTTTTCTAACTTGAACGACTTTCACAATAAACTTGGACTAGGTCCATGCATTTTCAAAAATATTTTCTTAATCAAACTTTAACCAACTTAATCATACTTTTACATTTTTTGTGAAAAGACTAAAAGTCAATCAATCTCATTCAAACTATTTTTGCCACTTTGACTTTTTACTTTAAAATTTTCTCAAAAGATTAGACTCTTGTCAATCCTTGTAGTGATGCGAGCTACTATACTTCTATGATATGTAGTGACGTGAGATATTTTTCAATTGAGTATTGAGTGAGGCTTTGTTGATTTTAAAACCCAAGCTATATCATCCACTTTGAGATGGTGCAAATTCTCCTTTCTCATAATCGTGGATAGTAAGTATGTTTCCACTCGGATATGACAATGATCTCTCATCTCTTAAAATTAACCAACAAACTTGTGTTTTTTTAAAAAAAATTTTAAAGGAGAACTACGAGCACCCCGATCCCCTATTGCATGTAAGGTGGTATGTAGACACTAAAGGTTTGCGACCGCGGCGGGTGCAAAAAATTTAAAAAATACTTCTTTTCTCATCTCCACCATCTATTTTTGTATACAACATTTATAGCTAAAATACACAATTTTTCAAAGAGGTTATTGCGGAGTACCGTAGATGTTTAAGGTGCTAATACCTTCTATAAAACGGTGGGAGAACTGAATTGGTTATTTTGCGTTTGATCGCAATTGTTGCATGTTGTACCCCAAAATTTTTCCTCCCATTTTCACACAAGACATACTCCTAGAGGTTCTCAATTGCTCAAGGTTGACCAAGAACTGACCAGACAAATTCTTCTCCTAGGGAAATGAATCCCCCAACTAGGGTTCCAATTTTCATCAAGATGGTTGAGCTCCAAAGATCTCAAATACTTTCCATGGTCCTAATATGTCTTCAAGATCATCCATGACAAATTTCATGCCTTGCACAATAAGTTTGCTCAGTCAATTGCCCAAGTTTTGAAAAATCAATTGTGCTAGGGCAAAAGTCAACTATGGCCCATATACAGTCAAACTTCAAGATTTTTGGTCAACATCAAAATTTTGAAGTGAGATCCATCATTTGATCAAGGGTTGATCATGATTCCTCAAGAAATACTCCTAATCTATCAAAAGTCAAGAGTTGCTAAATTAGGGTTTCTATAGGAAAAGTCTACTGAACTTTGACAAGACATAACTTTCACACACTTTATCCATTTTACCTGAACCAAAGCTCATTTTGAAGATAATATAATTTCCTACAACTTCTCTTTTATCCTCAAGTTCAAGAGATGCACCATTTGAAAGATACAAGCTCATACATTACATGTCATTTTCAGAAAGTCAACATAAGACACTTTTTGTCAAGGCAACTTACATCAAGATAATATCTCCAAATGCAAAAATAATTAAAAGAAAAAGTGTAGAGGAAATCTTGAGATTTCCAAAAAGTTCAAGATCACATTAAAAATGTGAAAATTGAGCAAGTTATGAGGTGCACAAGTTGGACAATTTTCAAGAAATGCGTGAAATGCAAAGTGAGCGAACTTGAAGTTT